CCCCCCGGCAGCGCTTCTTCCGCGCGCACCAGCAAACGCACAGCTCGGCCTCGGCGGGCGCCGCTGCCGCGGCTACGGCGTGGGCCCTGCCCGCCGGCCAGGCGGCCATGCGCCTGGAGCTGAGCCAACTCGCCGCCCTGCTGACTCGGGCGGAATTGGCCACACACCGGGACCGAGCTGGCGCTCGGCTTGGCCGGCTTTCCGCCCGGCTGCCGGGGGACCTCACCTGCTTGGCACCCACTGAGCAGCTGGCGATCGGCGCGCTGCTGGGCCGGCTGGCTGGCCGGGTGCTGGATGCCCTGGCTCGGACAGACTGCCCGGACTTCGCCCGGGCGTGTGCCGATGCCCTGGGCGCGCTCTGCCGGCCGGTGGCCATGTCGCCCGCCGGCCCGGTGGCCGATGCCTGGGCTGCCTCCTTCCTGCTGGGCGTTCCGCGGGGCGTGGCCGAGACCTGCCCGGGCGCCTGGCCAGCGGTGGCCGGCAGCTGTCCGGCGAGCCCCGCCACTCGCGACACCAGCCTGCCCGGGCCGGCGGCCATCGCCAGCCACCCTCTCAACCCGTACCTTTTCCCGACGGCCGGAGGCATGTCGGGCCCCGGCACCCAGGCAGGCCGGCGCCTGCCGGCCGGCCTGGCCGGCTGCCGGCCCGCCCTGCTGGCCTTGCTGAATGTCTTCCTGAAGGATGAGCACCTCCTGCTGGAGGGCCCGCTGCAGGGGCTGCTGCCGGCGCTCGGGGGCCTGGCCCGGCGGCCGAGCCCGGTGGCCGGGCACCTGCGCGCCCGCCTGGCCGAGCTGGCCTGCCGGGTGGCGGTCCACGCGTCGGCCGAGGCCGCCGGGCGGCTGCTGGCCGCGCTCGGGCCGATGAGCGCCCCGGTTGCGGGGCCGCTGCGCGATGGGGCCCTCACGCTGGCGGGCCCCGAGGCCGGACACGGGGCCGCGGCCCTCGCGCGGCTGGTCCAATTCCTGGGCACCCAGCCGGCCGTCGGGGCAGCCCTCCTGCCGGCGGTCTGTGCCCTGCTGGAGCGCGTGGAACTGCCCGACGGCCTGCGCACCCTGGATGTCGGTACGGCGTGCTGGCCGGTTTGCCGAGGCCCTGCCCCGGTCCCCTCCTTCCGCTCGGGTTGGCCTTTCTTCTCCCTCGCCCCTCCCACCGCCACCCCCTCTCGCGGCCCTTGCTGACGGCCCTCCCCGTGTCAGTCGAATCGCTCGGCCACATCCGGTGGATGGCCTCCGGCGCGCCTGCCGACGCGCTTCTCGGCATCCTCGGGTCCTTGCTGCCGGCGACCATGAACCTGGCCGTCGGGACCTTCGCGCATGTGGCCCTGTCGCCGGCGGCCGACCTGACCCCCGATCAGGTCTCCCAGAATACCCTGCGCCTGGGGATGCACAAGGGCCTGCGCCTGGCGGCCGGGCTGGGCCAGGGGCTTCTCGGCCTGGCCGGGCAGGGCCCCCCCTCGGACGCCGGGCCCGCGGTGGCCTGCTTCCGCCGGGCCCTTGCCCTGGTGCAGCAGCTGGCCGGGCCCGGGGCCCTGGCCGGCGAGGAGGCGCGCGCGGCCCTCGGCGCGCTGGCCATCCTCCAGGCGGTCCTCTCGGCCGGGGCCCTGACCGCGGGGTCGCTCTTTCCCCCGCGTGCCGCCTCGCCGGACCACCCGGCCCAGCGGACCTTCCATGAGGCCCTCCTGGCGTTCCATGGCTCGGCCAGCCCGCCGGGCGCCTGGTTTGCCTCGGCCGAGGAGGCCGAAGCTTTGCAATGCAACCTGGTGGTATGTTTGCCCCCGTCGGGGGCTGGGCAGCTTGCGGCCGGTGTTGCCCGGCCGGACATCTCGGCCGCCCCCGCCCCCGCCCCCGCCCCCGCCCCCGCCCCCCTCCACGCTGCCCGTGCGCTGAAGCTCACCCTCCCGTGCCGATCGACGTGTCTCCCCGTGCCACTTGGCTGCCCCTCGGCCAGCGCCTCCTGTCCATGGCCGGCGGACTGGGTGTCGGCCGGCTGGCGCACCTCCTGCGCCCGGTGGCCCTGCGCCATGTGGTCCTCTGTGTGGCGTCGCAGCTCCAGGCGGCGGCCGGGGCCCGGTCCCCCCCGGGGCCCGGCCACGCGTCGGCCTACCTTCGGCCGCGGCTCTGGCTGTGCCCTGCCTTCGACAACCCGAGCGCCGTGCTCTTCCGGGTGGACAGCTCCTCGCCCATTGCCCTCGGGGCCAACATGGATGCGCGCCTGGTCACCGAGCTCGGCGTGGCCCTGAGTGCCGAGCGCCTGGACACATCGCCCCTGCGCCCGGGCCCCGGGGCTGCGGACCACCCGCCGGGGCCCTTCACCGAGTGGTCGGCCTCCGACCACACCCAGCGCACCGACGAGGATGTCTTCCTCACCCGGCAGGATGCCCTGTCCTCGGCGTCGCAGCTCCTCATGGGCGCCTTCCGGCCGACGCCGGGCATGAGCTCCGGCGCCTCTGCCAAGCCGGCCGCCACATTGGCCTTCTTTTGCGGCCTCTCCCTGCTGGCGGCCAAGGACCTTCACCCGGTGGTCGAAGCGTTGGCGGTGTGTTGCCTCCCCCCCCCCCCCGGCATTGCCCCTGTCCCGCCCCCCTTCCCCTCCCTGTGCTAACCCCCTTGCCCCTGTGCCTGGGTGATTCCCCGGGCGAAGATCGCCCCCTTCACCATTCCGCTGGCCCAGCGCATCCGGCTGCTGCGCATGCTGCTGATCGCCGAGCACCCAACCCCCTTGACTTCGGAAAACATCCAAGTCACCGTGCGCCGAGATCACATCATCGCCGATGGCTTGGCCCAGTTCCAGAAGGAGATCGGCGAGGTGGCTGCCGGGCGCCGGGGGCTCAATGCCGATGGCCTGCCCGGCGGCTTCACCCCCTTCTCCAGTGCGATTGCCCACTTCTTCAACTCCATCGGCCTGTCGTCGATGCCGGACTTTGCTGGGGCCGGGGCCGGGCCCGGCATGGGTGGCGGCGGCGGCGGCGGCGGCGGCGGCGGCGGCGGCGGCGGCCGGCTCTCCTCCAGCCTCTGGAACTCCCTGCGCTTCAGCCTGCTGAATGAGCATGGCATCCGTGAGGATGGCCTCGACGGAGGTGGCATCACCAACGAGTTCCTTTCGCTGTACGTGGCCCCTGGTTTTGATGCCCATGTGTGTGTATCTGCCTTTTGCCGGGCGGGGGGAGGCTTTCCCCTTTGCCGGATCCAGTGTGCTGGCGCGTGGACAAGCCCACACCCATGCGTCTATGTGTGTGTGTGTGTATCTGTGTTGGTGCTGACAAAGTATCATCTCTCCTTTTCCCTTGACCCTCCCTTCTCGGGTATTTCCGCCCCCGGCCTTGCGCACACTGTCGCCACTCCATCCATCTCGCTGTGGCCCATATCCCTCCCCCCCCCCTTCACCCCCCAACACCGCCCCTGCCAGATCCTTCGACAAGATCCTCGAAGAGACCTTCGGTCTGTTTGTGGCCGGCGAGTCGGCCAACCCCGGCGCCCCGGCCCCGGACTGCTCGTACTATCCGAATGCCTCGACCTCGCTCATGGTGGATGCCATCGTGGCACGCGGCAATGGCCGGTCGGCCATCGCCCAGAATGCCGCCCGCTATCTCCGGCATTTGGGGCGCATCATCGGGCTGGGCTTGCTGAATGACGTCCCCCTGTCCCGGGGAGCCCAGCTCCCGGGGTTCCTCCTTCAGCGGATTCTCTCCTTCAAGCAGCAAACGTGGTCCTACTCGGAGCCCTGCTTCGACCACCTGTACTTCATCCTCGGGTCTGGCGACTTCCGCGTGGGCCCCGCCGACCTGCTGGATGCCTTCCTCCATGAGGGCGGGGGCCGGCTGTCTGGCATCCTGCCCCGGCGGGCCGAGCTGGCGCTGCACCTCCTGGCCGAGGTGGACCCCCCCCTGGCCCAGAGCATGGCCATGCTCCTGCGCGAATCCCTCGCCCACACCAATGCCACGGGTGATGTGCCGATGGCCGACCCGGCGGAGGCCCCCGGCTCGGATGCCCTCGGCCTGAGCTTCAGTCTGACCATCACCCCGGAGCTCCAGGTGTCCCTGGTCAAGCCGCGCCTGCTGAACCCGGATGCCACGGCCGATGGAAGCCCCGGACCCGTGGACAGCGACAGCGCCTCCTCGCTGGCCAGCAACCATGGCCAGCGCTATGCCAACATGCTGGGCGACGGCGCCGGCGGGGAATCCGGCCCCCAGCCGAACCTCGAGCTGCCGGCCGTCGGCGCCGGGCTCAAGTCGCGACTGATCTTCGCGGTGCTGCTGAGCTACTGCAAGCTTGACCGGCTGGTGTCCGGCGCGGTGGATTGCATCCGGTCCGGCGTGCTGGATGTCCTGGGCGGCACGTGCCAGCTCCTGGAGATGGAACACGTCCAGGGCGACACGGTCAACATGGCTGCCCTCATGGAAGAGGGGTCCCTCCGGTGGATGAACATGTTCAGCCCGGTGCGTGTCCGACTGCGTCTTCTCTTGCCTGCCCCCACTTGCTGTCTCCCACTTGGACCGGTGCTCGGTGTGCCCCCTGCCACGCCTTTCTCGCCGCACGCCCACACACTGACACCTCTCTTTTTCCCTCTTTTTTTTTCGCACCACCCCCC